ATAAAAAATATATTTGATATTTGTTTAGTATTTTATATATACTTGGTATTTCAATATTTGCCATAAAGTCATCACGCTTAGTTCTTCAGCTAAATATCCACAATATGAACAATGTGAAAAACCAACTCGACGCCCACACGCATTATATTGCGTATGTGTATGTGCATGCGTGTGTGTGTATGTGTGTGTGTGTACGTATGCAGCTCGCTCTAACTGGTATCCGCTTAAGTAAACAAGTCGTGTGGCACATACAGCAAAAATTGAGTTGACGCCTGGCAAGCAAACTTAAGCTGTCATCCACATGCCCAGAGCTCGGCTGGGTGGGCGTGGGCGTGGGCGTGGTGGGTTGGGCAGCAGCTGGAGTGTTGAAATAGAGGTTTACGTGTGCCCAAGCATGTGTGTGTTTGAGACTGACTTTCTCTCTCTCTCTCTCTCTCTCTCTCTCTCTCTCTCTCTCTCTCTCTCTGTGTGTTTACTTAGCGTTGCCACGCGACAACTTGTTGCACGTCTGATAAAGGAGTCGACACATCAAACAGCGGCAGGTCGTAAGCAAAGCAAGCAAAACAGTTGAGCATGTGCACCGTTACATCCCGAGTAACCCACATCCGCCTTCCCTCCCCCTCCGGCAAAAGACAATCATATTTAGCTACGATGACGATGGCTCAATCTCGAGCACAATTTATTTAATTAGGCAATCAATTCGAATCTTTTTTTAGAGTCGCACGAACTTGACCAGCTTCGAGCTGCTCTTGCGCAGCAGCACCTTGCCCAGGGGCTGGCCGAAGCCCTCGTACTGCTGATAGACATGCAGACCGCGCACCACTGTCGCATGCACCACACCGCTCAGCCGCTGGCCGGCATAGGGCGTGGGCGACTTGTGCGACGCGTAGAGCTGATCGCTGCAGACGGTGAACTCCTCGTCCGGATTCCAGATGCAGAAGTCGGCGTCGTAGCCCTCGGCAATGCGCCCCTTGAAGCTGGACAGGCCGCACAGCTGCGCCGGCTGCCAGCACATCAGGCGATGCACCTCGGCCAGGCTGAGCGGCTGCTCCGTCTGTCGGGCACGCGTCCACACCACCGGCAGGCTCAGCTGCAGCGAGCTGATGCCCGGCCAGGCGTTCATGAAATTGCCGCGTGCCCGGCCGTAGGTCAGACAACGGGCACCCGGCGTTGCCGAGGAGTGATCGCTGGCGATGAGCTGCAGCGTCGACTCCGGCCGGCGCAGCGCCGACCACAGGGCCGCCTGATTGGCCCGCTCGCGTATGGGCGGCCAGGTCTTGAACTCTGTGCCGCAGTCGGGCACCTGCTCCGCCCCCAGCGCCAAGTAGTGTGGACACGTCTCGGCGCTCAGCTGCACGCCCGACTCCTGCCGGCACGCCTCCAGCACGGGCAGTGCCTCGGCGCAGCTGAGATTCATGATGTGATAGCGATGCTGGGGCTGCGCTGCGGCGGCGCGGCAGATCAGCTGCACCGCCGACAGCTCCATGCTGGCGGGCCGTGACCGAAGAAAGCTTCCATAGCATTTGCTTGACGCCTCGTCCGGCTGCTGCTGAGACTCCGTTGCTGGCAGCTCGGCGTGGAACTGCAAGCATCAAATTGTAGACGTAGATGAGGGATTAAATAAAGTCATGGATGCTAGTAACTCAAGCTAGTCTCAGTCCTGGTAAGTCATGTTTATGTCTTGCTTCGTCTGCTCATCCGACTGATTGTTCATCCGTCCGACTGTCTGACCGTCCGTTCGTTCGTGTATGCATCCGCCTTTCTGTCAATGCACCAGTGCGTCCAACCACTCCTCTCTACGACCATCCGTCTGTCCGTCCGTTCGTTCGTTTGTGGTTCAAGATTTTTCACACTACAAACATGTTAACGTCCTGGTCCTGGACCAAATTGATGTAAATATCAACAGAATTAGATAAATATGTAAATATAAGTTCACTGCAGTTGAATACATCGCGTTAACAGTTATTGCTAGTCAATTTGTTCATTGTTCATTTCAAGGTAAAAAATTGAAAATAAACAGAAAAATATAAATTAAACCAAAATTATAAA